GTTGCTTTTTTTTCTCAATGATATTCTTTGACCAGTATTGATATATGAAATGAATATGTTTAATTCGTTTTCTTTTACTTTTATAAAACTGGAAGGTTGCTCTTTATAACTTATTTCATTTATACAATATACATAAACTATTATTACTTGTCGAAACTTATGCATAGATCTTTACCTTTTCTTTTATAATGAAGACAAGATGCATTTGAATGAAAATAAATTAATCTCGAACAAATCAGTTTTGATAAAGATGTCATTAAAATACTGAGGGATTCATTATTTATGGGATACCCGTTACTTACCCAGGACATTCGATCCGACTTGTGGACCGTACGGGGACACATCGGATCCGACACCAGATTACTCCGGAATCCGACGCACTCCTTTGAAGACCGATCGGAACCGACCCAGTTTATGTCGGATTCTCATGTACAGGATTCCGGACCGGATTACACCAGAAAAGATCTGATCGGATCTTGTCGTAACTGACAATCGGATCCGACCATGTCCTGACATAACCATCTTCTGAAAACCTCCGGATGATCCCAGACTCTAAACCGGATAACATCGGACTTCAACAGATTTCTTCAAATTTTTTGAATTCACTCCAAGTCGGATCTTGCCGGAAAAAAATCCTTCATCATAATCTAAAATCCGACAATCGGATTGTAACGGATCTACACCGGAAATCATCAACCAAAATAATTACTTCCAAATACCCATTATTCCTTTACAATCTGACAATCCGATTACATCGGATCAACACCGGACATCACCACCTAAAACAATTCCTTTGGAATCCGCATAATTCGGCTATAGTCCGGTACGGAAATCATCGGACACTACACCACCGATATTCGATGCCCAGAACCGATCGGTTTCACCAAAATCTGGGAAGATCCCATCAAAACCGTCTGTGAACCGGACAAATCCGGCATTTTTCGGCGCAAAATCCGTCGGCCGGATTAACCGAATTAACACAAATTTCAATCTTACTTTATATCGGAAGATATTAGACCTGACCGAATCCGACCAAATCCCGTAAATGCTACTACTATCAAGCAACTAATAATCCGTCGCTCTGCGTGAGTTGGGGTAACTGATTCACCGTTCCTCTACACTCACATCCTCATCCACACCTAAGATGCTCACTTTGACCAATGTGAGACTTCAAAATCTCCAAACAAACACTTTCTTAGTAAAATAAATCTCAAGATATCGTTACTCTCTCGTTCTTAAAAGCAATTTTAGATTAGAATCAAACCATCGACGCCATACTGAAAATTGACCAAATCTGAATGCAGGAATCCCACTTTGAAAATCAAATAGCGTTACAAACTCCACAAGAACGAGGATAGCCAGTAAAGATCGCTATATATGATTTCCATCTCATTCCCAGACAAATATTACATTGAGGTAGACAATGCGATGTAGAAAGACAGAGTGAGCATAACAAGTTCCCTTTGAAACAGGCTAGTGCGCCAAAGTTCGATAAGCATTTTTGAGACAAAAAACGGTCGGTGAGTACGGTAATTATATCACTCAAAGCGAAACATTAGGTTGAAACGGAAAAGACCCTGTGTACGAATTGAGTGAGCAATAGTGAGCACCGGGTGCTCACTTTCAAAATTCGGTAATGCAACAATGTTTGATTAGCATTTTCGAGACAAAAATGATCGCGACGAATGATTTTTATATCACTGAAAGCAAAATATTAGGTTGAAATAGTGAA